TTCCGTACAGCCGAAATTCTACTAAGCTACCCATATTTCCAACCGGTAAGCTTAAAAAAGGTATACAACTGAGAGATCCCTTGCAAAGCTGTAACTGATCGTTTCGTCTGTTTTTCGCTGAAGTCGATCAACAACAGACTTCATAAGTCATTTCTAATGCTATAGGATCAAAGGAACGTTCAAGCGCGGATCTAAAATAAATACTGACCGATTTCCTACTCTAGAGCGGTCTGGGGGCATGCTTCCACGGAAAATATTAATTTGGGGTTTAAGCACTCCAAAGTCTCCTTTCCTAGGTTTCTGAGTCATTCACACAGGATACTTACTGACTGTCCAAACCATTTTCCAGATTTCAACTTGGAAAGTTTAAACATCTTTTACTAAAAATATATTTATTATCAAAAATCTGACCGATTTCCGTATACTGGTGGAAACCGGTAAGGATCCGCACCTGGCTTTACTAGTTATTCTCCACTTAATGAGGTTTTGCATTCATCTCACGCTCTTTATATGCCGCACCATAGAACTGATGCTTATTTTAGTTTTTCGCCCGAGTATCAACATTAGTGTTGTGGTCCAGTTTTTATTTTCCTTTGTCTTAAACTCATTATCATTCACTTCCGTTCACAAAAACAAAGGCAAATAAAAATTAAACCGAGCATAAAATTGAACCACATCACTAGCATGTAAAAACCATCAGCCAAGGAATTTGTTTGAACAAGGAAATGTACTTACCGTAGCAAGTCGTGCTCTTAACAGGGGCCTAAATCTCCCCAACAACAAATATGCAAATTGTATTAATTTCTTTTACTGCAGAACTCTAGCGATACCAGAGAACCAAATAACCTCAACAAGCTATTTTCGGTTAGTTTCCTACGCCGCTTTTTTTTTGTACTCTGTGGTCACGCAACGCTCCCTCCCACAAACGGCTGCTGAAAACTGAACCACATTCCTTTCCGCATATTCAGTCAATCCGACGTCTGCTTCCATGATGCGCGCAAAGTTCACGGTTCGTTGGCTCCTCCAATCACAGCCTTGCGTTTATGGGTGTCCCACGTGGGACTGACAAGAAGAAAATCAAGAAACAACATTGGCGCTAGAAGACACACTCGATCTAGCGTCGTCTTTACAGTCTTCAAAATTTCTGTAGTGATACATGTAATACCGGTAAATGATCATCAGAAGCCAGCAATTCGATTATCAGATTTGCTCGCGTTTGACGTAACATGCTACAGAGTTCATATCAATCAAAGCAATGCAAAGAGAATCCACCAAAAGAAATACAGTCCAAAACATAACAAACCTGATCCATGAAAGTAGATTAAAGCCCAGTTCTTTAAACCCTTTTCAGTTTTTAAAGCGGAAGAAGAGGGAGGGGCGGTTTACGAAGTATTTTCAAAAGATACCTCATGGCCAATAGTTTTAGGCTAATCATAACCAAATTTCTTCCGGTTTTGTTAAGAAAATTAATTACAACTTGATCACGTGACAAGCCATGCGTTGTTCTTTTGAAAAATCCTATCAATCGAAATTTCGTCTGTCAAAAGATCCAAACAACTGCTGCTTATAAATAAAGTTCTTGTAAAGATGTTCTGAATGATACGAAGTCATATAACGTCATTTTCCTGACGAAAAACCTAATTAGAGGAAAACTGGCTCTAATCGGTCACAAAAACAAATTGCATCTACAAATTGTGGCCCTTTGACTGACATTCCGAGCTGATTTCGTTGGCACTTTTGGGGGTCGATAATTTAATAAGGGAAAACTGGAGCTTTACATTTAGCAAGGGTTGTGACTAGACTGAACACCCGCCAAAACCTACCTCCTTCAATGAAGGACGGGTCTGGAAACTAAGTTAGCGGAAACTGCTCTTCAAATGATCGAGGCCTTTTTTATGGCCATTGCGCGCTTACTTTAAATGTTTATTCAACAATCTGTTTTGAGATTTTTTGAGTAAGCAGTATTAATGAAATTTTCGTGCAGTTTCTTCAAATTATTCCTCATCCTCGACTTACGCTATTAATCGTAAGAGAGATTTTTAGTGGTAGGTTATTATTATTATTATTATTATTATTATTATTATTATTATTATTATTATTATTATTTATTTATTTATTTATTTATTTAAATTTTTTTTTGGAGGAAATGAAGTCAATCACCTAAGATTCGAAACGTTCTCCAAAGGATTTTTTTCTTTGTTTGTCAACTTGGACCACAGGCGACCCAGACGTAGTATGTGGCAAATGAATATATTAATATTCACATGGACAAAATAGGATGAATCGTCGAAACTCCCATGAACATAAACTAGTCCGAAAGTCAAAATATAACAAAACAAAGCTAAGATACCTTTAACTGAACGTCTCCTTCTTCTTCCTGGCCGGTTAAAGTGGTATTTTGTTGAGTCTTGCAATCGTAGGTACTATCCACTAAAGAAGAATTAAAGGCTGGATACAAAACAAACGGACCATCTCCACTCGCCTTCACGCGAAGCGCTATAAATTCGAGAATAATCGACGAATCCGCTCCAAATTGCTATCGGCTAATCTGCAGTCAATGTGCGCTCATGCTTCTTGCTCGCTGGCTCCACAAAACCCATCGCAACTGCGCAATAATCGCTCGCTCATCAACAAACACTATGACCGCAAACTACCAGGTTTAATACGCGACGTGAATATTCAAGCTTAGCGACCACGTCCACGCAACAATGCAACACTTGCTATGGGAGGGATGGTGCTATTGCCTCTAGGTCAATCAACACTGAGCGAGGGTCCGCTGCGTTAGTTTTGACCACAAAACAAAAGGCGATCGCGCGACCGTCCGTAAGTTTTCAACGGCGCGGCCCTGGTTTTCAAGTTCGAATTCCTCTAACGTTCGCTGTCACAGCTGCTGTCATATTGTGCGAAAAGCCGCTTGCATTGGTTCTTGACTCTACTGGACCTATTTGCTTGGATTAATTAAATAACCAGTTCTTTCCAGAACTACGTCTTACTCCACTCTATCCAAACTGGTGAGGGAGGACGCGGATTTTCCGCCCAGGAAAAAGGAATAATCTGGCCTCGGCTATGCAGCTGAATAGAAGATACAGCTGAAGATATGGTAAAGTAAATGCTATGTGCACGAAGAAGAAGGAGACGTTCAGTTAAAGGTATCTTAGCTTTGTTTTGTTATATTTTGACTTTTGGACTACCGTAAAATTCCGAAAATACGCCCCTCCATGTATAACCCCCTCCAAATATAAGCCCCCAAAACCGGTAAAGCAGAAAACCCCCGTTAAATCGCCCCTCCAAATATAAGCCCCACCGGGGGCTTGTATTTGGAAAATTGCCCTCAAATATAGAGTAAAACAAAGCAAAGATGGTAGATTTATTCCAAGCTATAAGGCTAGCCCAATCGATTTTGAAAAGCAAATTTCCCTCCATAGATAAGCCCCCCCGAACATAAGCCCCTCAAAAAAGGCCTTTGAAAAATATGAGCCCCGGGGCTTATTTTCGGAATTTTACGGTATTTTAGTTCATGGGAGTTTCGACGACTCATCCTATTTTGTCTATGTGAATATTAATATATTCATTTGACACATACTACGTCTGGGCCGCCTGTGCATATATTTAGTCTAGTACAGAGTTCCAATGCAAATCTGCAGTATTAGGTAGTAGTAATTAGGTTTCCGATATTAGGCCGGATAGTTAAAGGGTTTACGTGCGTTGAATACCATCAGAATGAAGCTACAATGATCAATGAATACAAATCCAGAGGTAGCCTACAATGACTTTTATTTTACTTCTTGTGGTTTGGTAAATTTAGGTCTTTGTCTTACACTCTATACTAAGTATCAGCTCCTTTCTAAATTATGTCACTGTTGTAGTAATACAAAAGGTTCATCTTTGTCAGGTCAAGTCAACCATTTGGGTTATTTTTATAATCCAAGGATGCTTTCATCTTCTTCATATGCCTAACAATAGAACATTCGCAGATAATTTAGTAAACTAGAAAAAAAAACAGTTGAAAAAAAAAACGCTTTTTAATATAGTATAGTGAAGATTAAGATAGATCTGAAAATCACGCTATATCGCTAATACTTTTTATTGTTCTTGTCGGCTACAAGATTTTGCATCAACACGTTTCAAGTAATTAACAATGTATCTGCTGACGGCTTCCTAGTCAGATTTTTTATGTATATCAGTGCATTGGTAAGCTAGTTATGCAACAGAGGCGTAAAGATGAACATTTATTACATGTATGTTCAAAGCTTTTGATCCAGCAGACGCTAAAAAGTTAAGTAAACTTTATCAGAGTTAGTGCAAGGAAAAAAAATTATCGTAATAATAATAATAATAATAATAATAATAATAATAAATAACCAACTGAACAATTTAAAGACTTGGTTGAGTATGGGCTCGATGTATGGTCGACAAGGTCGATTTGGTGTAGGGAAAGTAAAAAAATAAAATAAAATAAAATAATAATAATAATAATAATAATTTTATACTTACTTTTATTATTTTATGCTTTTATACTTAGGGCTTTTTATGGACACTGGTTTAGCCGTCATTAGTATAATTCGATTGTATGATCTTGATATCTCTGCATAATGGAATTCTTAATTTTATAGAATTTTGAACTTTTATTATTGATTATGTCTATTTCCTCTTCTTTTATGTAAGGTTCAGTTACTTCTATTTTTTAGAATTTGTAAATGAATAGTTTTCTGTTTCTTCTCTTATTATATATAGGATTGTTTTTGTTCTCTAATGAAGGAATTGTAGATAGTGTTTTGATGAATTGATTAGATTTTTTGTAACAGCAGGTTGATTGTAAATAGGATTTTAATTGAGGTTTTGTAATAAAGATTTTACCAATTTATCTCTAAAAAAAATAAATTAATAATAATAATAATAATAAACACTTAGTTTGCCTTCGCCCTCATAAAAATACACGAATTGAGGCCAAGACAGGATAATGACAGTGGCTGAAAATAGAACTTGCATAATTACGTTACGGCTCAGTGATTTGAAGTCACAGGCGAGTTTGACTTTATTCCTCAGACGCCATGAATTAACCAAATAGAACGTTTCAATCGAAAACGAAGAAAGTTATCAACCTAAAAGTAATTAGAAACCCTGTGTAACTGGTTAAACCAAATAAACATAGCACACGACCTTATCTAAATGAGATTTCTACGCATTTTATTCATGATATAAAGACAAAAGGGTTATGACGTCATCGGCGTTAATCTATGCCACTCAAAAAGTTAATTAATTAAAAAAAAAGGTTAATTCGGTGCTCATACCACTACTCATCAATCTTATTTTCGCAGTAAAGGCCATCGAATCCATCTTTGCATTCGCATTGGAATGCATTTATTCCATCTATGCACCTGAAGAAGAAAGAACGAAAATTAAGCAATGCTTCTGACGCTCCCCGACGGTCATTACCCGTATACTGTACGTTACTACTTTATTATCAATGACATCACAATAACACGCTATCTTTAACGGAAAAAAGTTAACCCAATGAAATATCAGATATAAAGGGAGGCAATATATCAAGTGAATAATCTGGCAACCTGGCTCCGTTGAAGCAGGGATTTGAGTCACACTCCTCAACGTTGAACTCGCACTTCTTTCCAACAAAACCCTTCTGGCAAATGCAGTCAAACCAGTTGTCTTTAACAATGCAGGTTGCGTTGTTCTTACATCCTAATTTTGTACATTCGTCAGCTTCTTCCTCGCAATTGTTGCCGTAAAAACCGCTAGGACAAATGCAATCGTATGTTCCAGTTGAGTCCACACATGTCCCCTCATTCTGACAAGGGTCTGATGCACAGTCATCGATATTCTCCTCACAGTTCTTACCCTGGTAACCTGTGAGATAGTAAGAAGTGTTATCCATTGTTTCGATTACTGAAGGACTTAGCCTGTAACCAGGCTCCGCAGTGAGGGGAAAAGACGAGCGAAGCGAGCTGAGCTTTTGCCGTTCCCCCTCCCAGACTTCCGCTCGGCTCACTTCGCTCACCGATTGTTTTGTCTTGTTTGTTTGTTTGTTTTGCCATTTTACCCCTCTGTGGAGGCTGGTCACAGGCTAGAACGACTCAGAGGAACGTATTCCAGTTATAGAGATGGCGACCATCAGAATGCGGTCGAAACGTCGAGATAAATAGCAAATTTTAAGGTGACTAATGTGAGACAAACAATAAACAAGCCCTATCATGCACATACCAATGTCTTTTAATATAACGTATACCTATTTTTACCTCTGAGTTTGATATGCTTTTTTGTTAAAGAAATCTCAATCTTTGGTACAAGCCATCTTTTGTTATACATTTGCTTTCTGCTAAGCAGACACCTTAGTAAACACACGCTCCTTTAAGAGAAAGAGCTGGTCCAGCAAGACTGAGTGAAAGGAAAACAAAACAAAACAAAACAAAGATATGGCCAAAGAAACTTTTTACTAACCTTGTGCGCAAGAGCACGAATAGTTATTTACCATGTCATGGCATGTGCCACCGTTAAAACAAGGTAGGTCTGAGCAGTCGTCAATGTTGGTCTCGCAATGTTTGCCAGTATATCCAGGTTGACAGGTGCACAAGAAGTCATCAATGAGATCTGTACACGTTAAATTGCCCTTACATGGGCTGGAACCGCAGTTGTCGATTTCTGAAGCGAAAAAAAAAAATTATTGAGTTTAAATCCTAAATTATTTATTCTTGATCAAAAACGATTTCTTAAAACATAAGCAAGCGAATATTAACGTTAAAAGCCGACGTTTCGGTATCATCATGACACCATTCTCAAGGCAAAATGAACAAATAATGCTAAGATTTGATTTCTATAGCCTCCACAAATTAACATAATAACAAAGGATCACAAGTTCTTTAAGTGAATACCTTTGCGCGAATCGAATCCGCCTGAGATGCTCTTTATAAGAAAACTCAAACCATCCCTAAACGTGCAGGCGGACTCGATTTGACAATTTTATACGTAGAAGACCGTCAGACCACAACAAGATAACATTTGCAATAAAATATCTTCCCACGTCACATCTACGGTAATGACGTCATCAGTCACGTGACTATTTCCGGATTAGGTTCTTTTTTGTTGCTGTGACTAGATTTTATTTACGAGTTAAAAACAAATAGTATTTTTTAAAAATAACCAATTGACGTTCGCCATTTAATCATGAACATGAGTGAAAAATTCGGGAGACTAGGCCGAGGGCTGTAGAGAGTCAACCTTTTATCACACGGCAGAGAAAATTTGCGGGAAAGTAATGTCCGGCCAAATTTTTTTTTTTTTCATGACCAAAAGAGGGACACTACGTCATCAGTCAAGTGATCAAAACGTTTTGAATGTTTGAGTTCGTTTTTAAAGTACCTTTTTTACCATGTAACTTCCGTTTATTATTTTAGTGTAGTATATATTCCGTATTTTCGTGTTTTTTCCCTAAAAAACCTGATGAAGATTGGTAATGGTCAGTCGAAATATTGTATACCTCGACCTTTTTCACGTTGTTTGATCAGTCTTTGCAGTAGTCTTTTTGACTTTAATTCTATTTTCATCTTTTTCGATTGATCACGATCTTTTTTGATCCATCGTTGAGTTAAATTGATCGTTCAAGGTTTCTGCAGTGGGTTTTCAAGCCTTAGTTCACAATAGTTTATGTATATATCTCTTGGGTATCCGCACTTGACGTCATGTAGTGTGACGTCAAGGTGCACTTTAGGGTTACCAGGTAACACGAATTCAAGGGCGAACGATATGTTTTATTCACTCAGTGTTTACTATCGGTGAATCACGCGATCAATTGCTCACGAAACTGAAAGAGAACGGCAAGTATAAAAACGTTGCATTCAGCAAGTGGCTGGAATTCCTCGCCGGGGAAGTTTTACCACCGAAAGTCCACAGCAGCGAGAACGGCGACTAGAAATCTAGCCCGACCAAAGAAGAAGAATACGAGTGCGTACATCGATCGGCCGTTAAACGCGAGAGTAAATAAATATGGAAATAATGCGAAACGGCATTGAAATAGTCGTTTAAACTAATTTTCCTCAAATGCATTTTTTTAAATTCATGATAAACATAGCTCGACTAGCTTCAAACAGCTAGTATGGCAAAGAAAAATGCCTCAGATGTATTAATTTTACACCTTTAGATGACCACACTTGTAAAATAAAATGTAAATCTGCGTAATTCGCTTTAAAGACCTTGCTGGTCTACTGGAAGGCGCTGACGCTGAAAATGTTCTTTCCTCCTGTGTGAAGGCGTTAAGGCCACCAGATTGCTTTATAATGTTACGAATGAAGCTTCGTTTTGGCCTAGGAAGTGCCTAGTAAGTAAAATTTTATTCCTTCATATTACTAATTAAGTTCTTACTCATTTCTTTTCATATGATAATAAGTCGCCTAGATAAAAGTGCCTTTCTGCGTACTTAATAAGTGGATACGTTTAATTATTAGCGTCACTTTTAATGATAATCTTCGACATATTGTCCACCATCCCCCGAATAACGTCACGTGACAGGAGCTAAGCACACAAATATTTCTTCAGTTGAAGCCGTTTTGCAAGCTAGATACACTTGCTTGAGCTCTGCACAAAATTAAAAACGTCAATGACGTGTAGTCTGGTAATATCTTTTAGAGGTGATGTTATATAGTAAATACACTACCCCACCCCCCAAAAAAAACATATCCCTAAGAAGCGCCTTCATTGTTTTAATCATCTTAAATAAGATCGTTGATTGTTAATCTCGACAAACCGTTTGCGATCTTTTACATAAGAACGGAAGCACTCTAAAAGTTTGCAACAAATCCCGAAGCGTGTTAATCACGAGATTGCCAGATATCGTGATCTACGGCGTCAAGGGCATCCGTCAAATCAAGGAGGACAAGCACATCCGACTTTTCCTTTAATTGTGCAGATGTTATAGGGACTTGAATGAGTGCTGTTTTTTAATATACTATCCCATCCCCTATCAGATGATTTAGTGAAATGTTAAAAAAGATTATTACTTTCTTTAAGCGAACAAATTGACCGAACTTTTTGACAGGAGGCTTAAGTTTAAGATTGGGCAAAGCTTCTTGTAGACCTGATGATTTTGATGAACCGAAAAATACTGAAACAAGTGTTATAACAATCATGTATAACAAAGCAACGTAGAAAGCGGATTAAACTGCCGCACGGTAGAATAAGTACAATTTAGGTAAGCCTTTCCAGCTAACCTTGACAATCCTGCCTCCTCTTCGATCCAAACTGTGTTGTCACAGTTGTTCCTGGGCATGGGACACACGTGCGACTCTCACTTTGGGGCTGAAAAGAGCGCCTGTCGCACAATGAACATGGAACCAGACCATTTGGAGAGAACCAACCAGGAGGACAGGGGACTTGAGAGCAAGAAAAAAGAAAAAAAAGCGAAAAAAAGAAAAACAATATGTTTAACACTTCATGACTCTCTTTTTCATTAATCTTCTGTTAGTGAAAAGAGGAATCAGTTCATTTGATTTCCCGAATATTCCCTAATTTGGTAATGCAAACAGAAACAGTTGGAAACAATTGGCTTAACAGCAAGACACAGTTACCACAATTGGTTAGTGCGCGGCCTTCGGTGCGTGAGGTCCCGACTGAGTTCGATCCCCAGTGACACCACATCCTTGTTTCAGCTTCTCTCCTTTCTGTGTAGTTTTGACTATCTTAAAATACCCTTAAAACGGAGCATTGATAGATAGAGGGGGGTAAAAGGAGCGCACTGTCAACCTCAAGTTTATCAGACTTATCAGCTATTATTACTGTCACGAGTTATCGACGTAAAATATGGTCGCTTTACCTTTTTTTCTTTACCTTTTTGCAACTTTTAGTAGATTTATAGCAAAAACCGCAGTCTGATCACCTCTTATTTTCGGAATGCTGCTATAGCTTTTAAAATAAGGTGACAGTTTCATTGTCAGAGGTCATCTGAACTCAAAGTAACTGATGACATCTGGACTGCTGTTGAAGGGTATATTGCTGCTGTAACAAACTTATTCCAAACTTATTTTAATTTGTTTACTGTCTTATTGTTTCTGTTGTTGAAAAGTCAATATACCTCCGCACTGCTTAGAACTAGTGGATCCCTCTTCAGAAGTTGTTGTATCTACACTGCAATTTAAACAAAGACGCTGCCCCTCCATCTCTTGATAGAAGCCCTTTTCACACGGGAAACAAGGCTCCAGTCCGGTTGGTGAATAAGACCCAGCTTTGCAAACAGCTTTCAAAAGGAAAAGAAAAAATTAATTACTAGCCAGGCAAGTACTGAGCATGCAGCAGCAGCACTAGTAGTAATTGTGTATGTAGTGAATTTATGTATTGAATTTAACTCAAATAAAATAGAAGAGGTACACAAAAGAGGTCAAGTTACCAGGAAATCTTTGTTGAAAATGTGACAAAGTTATTGACTGAATATTCCTGCACAATTTAGGGCGTACGTTTTCAAGGGTTAGTGTGGGAATTAACTAGTCGTAAATTATCCTAAGCTAAGTGTAAGCTGCAACTGTTAAAATCAAGGCCATCGGAAAAGAATATTGACTTCAAAATTTTAGTGCTAAATTCAAAAAAAATATGATAATTTAGGACTAAAAAGAGTATAATTGCTCTAATAATAATCATTTGTTCTGTCATCTATTACTTTACCTTTGCATTTAATAAAATTATTTTATATTTTCTCCATTTACCCTTGACATGTCCTCAGCCTTAGCTAGAGTGTATGAAGAGTTTTGCTGGCCCGTTATAACAAAATTACACAATAATGTAAGTATGCGTTGAGATAGGGTTTACACTGACTTCTTGGGGTCCTCCTAGACCACACCCTATCTTCAAAGAACCATGTAGAGTATTACTGACAATAAGATCTCGTTCCTCCCGAATCTACTTGTCTACAAACCTATAGTCTTTTCATGGTTGGACTACTTTTGTGGGGTTGGGAGCAAATCTTATCTACAGTCGGCGACAAAATGAGTTGAGACACTTTGCCCTAAAACGGCTTTATGACTTTCTCCTGACTTCAAAAAGGGAAAATCTAGCTTCTTCCCCCATCCCCTCCATGCAATGTTGTGCCGCTGTTCGAGCCACCTTTAGAAAACAACAAACACTCTAAATTTGAATGGAGGGGACAGGGGAGGGGTGTAGATTCTTTTGTTCTGTGAAGTTAACAATGTTTCAACAGTTTTGTCCCCGACTGTAGATAAACTAAACAAACTTGCCCCCTGTGAAGGTCAATCTCTCAGGGCTGACGAGGTAAAGTCGACACTTGGCTGGCCAAGCCTACAAGCGCGTAGAGGCTCTCTCTGAAGTGCGTCCTACTGTCTATAAACGTGTTCATGGAATTGCATCATTTTACTTGCTTTCGGAATTTAGTCACCCTCACCAAGTTCATGGCTACAACACCAAAAGCCGTAATTTGCTGCTTTCCGGCCTTTTCAGAAAACAGCTTAGTACCAAGGAAGCTTTAGAATAAACTGTGCTCGCACATACAACACTTTGCCCAGAAACAATTAAGATTATTAAGCTCAAAAGCCATCTTAGACAATAATACCTGTATATGTTGCCTTGAAAATTTAATTAATTAGCTAGTCTCTTTAATGTTTTAATGTATTTGTTCAGTTTCTTTGTTTTGTGTGTGTGTGTGTGTTTGTGTGTGTGTGTCAGGACTTTGATAGCGCTTTTTTTAAGGACAGCAATGATTATGACGGTTATATCTAACCTAAACAGCCAGAGAGGTCATCTGTCCTGGACTGCTCGGTTGACGTTCTTGGTGGACATGGTACGCATGCTTCTTGTGACTCTTCTTCTTGATATGATCCAACAGGGCAGTCTTCACATGTACCGAGGGTTTTGTTCAGGTATGTTCCAGGTGTGCAGCTTACTAACAATTAAAATCATCCATTTGAACGAGTTAGTTATCTTAATATGGCACAGGAAGAAACATATGCCGAAGTTTCTATGGGAGTGTTCAAGGCATTTACTCAAAATATTACAAGCCTTGGTGAAGAAGAAGTATGCATGGACTAAATCTTTTATCACTTAAGAAAATACAGTCAACTCTCTTCATAACGGACACTGTAGGGAGCTTGAGTTAGTACCCTCATTAGCGAGAACCAGTAATAGAGGGGAGTTTGTATCAGTCAAACGTCTATAATTAATTTATATCTGCCTGAGATTTAGTAGCTGTACGTATTATCGGGGTGTACGATATAGCGAGATGCCCGCAAGGCGAGCGTTGGCTGTATTAAGTTTTCTAGAAGGAAAGAATGGAAGCAAATTATAAAAAAAAATAAAATAACAAGATAAATAACAAGATAAATGGAATAAATTTGGCAACAATCCTGAAGGCATTTTTGCATCTTTAGTTTGCAAACTTTGTCGAAAACCGAGCACCTTGCGTGGAGCTTAAACCGAAAATGTTTTTATATTATTCCGTAATCGAGTTTTCTTACTCTTCTATTTTCCTAAATTATTAGACGATGTTTGTATACAGTGGCGGATCCACGGAAGGGGCCCGGGGGACCCGGCCCCCTCTTATTTTTAGACCAAACTGAGGCATGAAGGACTGAAAAAAAAATTGTTTTGTTGAGACCGCCCCCCCCCCCCCCCCTTATCTCAGGATCTGGACGACCGCAACCACCCCCTCCCCCCCGTTATCTGTAGGTCTGGATCCGCCATTGGTATGAGAAGCTTACCGCAAAATCCTTCTCTGTAGGCCTGTCCTGTTGCACAGGTTCTTTCAGGTTCTGAAATATTCAGTGACTTTTTATCGGGAAGAAGCACGTTGCCATTGACTTTGAAACTTAAACTTCCCTCACCAACTGCCTTCCTTATCTCGCTGCCTATCTTTTTAGCGATATTTACGCCGACCAGGCCTGCCTTAATTTTGTTTTCGTTGGTGTCATTTACTCCGATGTTGTCATTGATGTGTACTGCAAGAGTGAAAAGAACAAAACGGAAGAATGGAGAATGTGGAGCTAATTTTAGGCCATTTGACGTTCACAAATATCTACTCAGAGGGCTTTCATTTATTACAAACTGCAGAAAAGGGGGGGCAGGGGTTCGGTGACAATGTGGCAGGTAGGTTATTTTGGGAAGTCCTGAAAGACGGGTTTAATTTCATTTGAAGCGCCTGTAAGGTTGGATAAAGTATAGATGAAGTGCAGGATAGGATTGCGAGATGTTTACGTTTTCTTCCCTTATGAAGGAGAGATTTTAAGGACATATCATCGAAACTGCTGACTCTTCCCAGAGCCACGAGGGATTTTCACAAGTGGCGGAGCTCCGAGGGAAAATCCCTTGTTCGCCAATTTTCGCGGCTCCGCCGCCCAACAATTAACAGCACCCCGCGCTAATTTCACCAGCAAAGTTATCTAGAAACACTGTAATCATAATTTGTAAATCAACATGCCCGACGTCAAAAGTCATTTCTTTACTGTGGCCTTACCATATATATAGAAATAAGAAAAGTATACTGCATTAAATTTAAAAAAGGTTAAAATCATCTCCTTATAACGTATTGTATACCAAGGATTCCGCATTCCACAAGCAAAACTTTGCCGGATTCCAAATTCCATAAGCGAAATTTCCCGAATTTCGGAATCCTGATTCCCTAGTACGTGGGGCGATCCTGCGCATGCAGATTGCTAAGAGGGTTGTAACCCGTGTACACATGCATTTGGCTAGATCAGAATTTCTCTAGGTAAGGGGTGACGAATGCTGAGCACTGCGATTTTTCTGCGAGCACGAGCAGAGATGAAAAATTTGCTTTGCGAGCAGCGAGCAGTTTAGAGAGTACAACTCGCGAGCAGCGAGCACTTCTTATATTTTCCGCTTGCAGCAATCCATATGGAAATCCTTTTCTTTAAAATAAAACAGAAAGTATTTTGAAACAGGGTTTTAATTTAGAGCGCACCAAGTTCTTGGAAGCTAGTTTGAGTGACACCTTATCGAGATCTAACCAATTACAGTTGCGTTTGATGCCAAATAACGTCACATTTTCGCTTCACTTCATCACGCACGAGTTCGTACCGATCAGAAAGCAAAGGTCACAAGAAGAACAACCATATATAACCATATATAGCTGGATTAGCTAATTTATTATTTATCGTTGTCATTTATCGAGTGCATTTCCACTGAACTTGATAGCCATATTATAGGAATTAAGCACCATACAGAATTACATTTGCTTTAACCCAAAGAAGTATTTACAAAATTTTGAGCAATACGGACAACAAAGAGAGCATGCAAGCAACTGCAAACATTTTGGGAGCACGAGCAAGCGAGCACTCATTTAAATTTTGCGAGCAAATGGAGCAAAGGTAAAATTTTGCGAGCAGTTAAAAGTTTTAATGGACCATTTATCACCCCCTATAGGCAATCAGGTGGCATGTTTTCCAGCAACTTAAAGGGGTAAAGCATATTATTTATAATTCAATGTGCTTTAGAGCCAAGGGTAATGAAGATTATTCTCTAATAAGCTTTTGCCATAAAGGAAGGGAAGTCATCTACAGTGAAGAAAAATAAACATCACATTTGACAGGGGCACCCAACGTCCATTGTCAGAAAATGTCTGTTCGAAAGACCATTAGAGATCTAGAATTTTCGGAACATTTGTTGTAAAATTTCTTGCTTGCCTGCCTATCCTAGGATTTTCGATCACCCAAAAAATGCTATAATTGCTCATTTTTAACGGATTTTTACCCTTAAGAGGTCACCTAGAATTTTCGGGAGCCTTTTTTTCCGGCTGAAATTTTCGAAAAGATAAGTTTTTATCCCTATAATTTTTGGATCACTAGACTTTCAGTTAGGAAATCCGAACAGATGAAACATTTTTAGGGGATCAAAATATGCCTATATCTACCGTTTAAATACTAAAATACGTTTAACAATGCTATGTTTAAGTGGTTTTGAACTATGTTCTCGTTGGGTGCCCCTGATGTGAATCTACAAGGCCTTCGTCACGAGTCTTAGGAGCGTACATTAACTATGCAACACGTACATCTATGCACTGGAAAAAATTAAAAGGAACATCTACTTACCAACCATATCAAAATTGATTGTTGTTTGGAGAATCAGTCGTGGTCGTTGAGTTCTTCCATTGACTAAGACATCGTGCAATCAAAGAAACAGGATGCTACACGTAAGTTTTCATTACATTGTATGGGAGAGCGGCCATTGACAAGACAATAACAGATTAATAATAACCTTTATTTTAAGAGGGTGACACCAATTACTATAAAAAGTATTCTCCCTAGTGGCCCTCTGAAAACAGAATTGATAATAAAATTACAACAATCATGATGAAAAGCCTATTTGCAAATAGTGATTATAATAAAAGGTTCCTAAAAATTCTAGAGATTTAAAAAATTGAGAGATGTAAAAACGGAAGTGAATACATTGGTAAAAAAGGGAATCCAATCTACAACGATATTTAAAAAAGCACGGATTTTTAAACATCAGAATAACTTTTTAACTTTAAAATTGTCCACCGTATTAAGCTAAAGGAGGTGGTTGGTTCTAAGTTAAGAGCATTTAGTTCTTTAATAGTGGAATAAAAGAATGTTCTCCTCATTGCTTCAGTTCTGGGTTTCGGTAAGCGGTATAATGTTTTTGTTCTGGTAGAGTAGTTGTGTTCAAACCGAAGTGAGTCCAAGGTTGTAATTAAGTATTCCGGTGCCCTACCATCAATAACGTTCTTTAAAAGGCCGAGTTTATTGAGCTTGAATAGTTGATCTAGCGGTAGCCACTTAAGCTTTTGGAAATCATCATACGATCGTGCATCCCGAGGACTATCCAAAATTAATCTAGCGCAGCGTTTTTGAAGATTAAACAGTTCATCTAAGTTGCTTTGGCTACAGTTGCCCCAAACAGTACAGCAATAAGTAAAGAGCAGTTTGATACTTGCATTGCAGAGAAGCAATCGATATTTGGTTGCTATTTATTACCGAGCTTTTGCTAAAATTGCAAATCTTTGAAGTAGTTTTCGGCGCAGTGTGTCAGTGTGTTCGTTCCTGGTGAGATGACTATCAATATATACTCCTAAGAAACGTTCTGACTCAACCTTAGTGAGTTGCATGCCGTCAACGGAGAGGTCAAGAGGTTTTTTTGCTGAATTTGCAATTTTTTGCGTTGTCGAGATTATACTGTACTTTGTCTTTGCTGGATGCATTTTCATTTTATTTTCCTTTGCCCACATCGATACCGCGTCAATGTCAGGTCTAATTTTCTCCTCGACTTCAGATAAGGCAGGTGCACACGCATAAAGGGTCGAGTCATCGGCATAAATGCCAATATTGTTCTTCAGTACTAGAGATAGATCATTTATGAAGAGCAGAAAAAGAGCAAGACCAAGAATACTCCCCTGCAGTACACCGGAGTGAATACCAAGCGGTTCAGATGGTTTACCGTCAACACATACCTTTTGATACCTTCCGCTGAGGTAACTTTGGAATCATTTGAAAAAATGGAGGCAATAACGGATTGGAGGCTCAATTTGACTTGGATCTAAAGTGCCTTTTTAGGCCAAGCCCAAACCTAATTAAATCATGCTGGCTCCTCAGGGCCAGATGGTCTGCTACATAACCGTTTTAGCGTTGTGTGACGACACTGAAAAGAGCTGTGAGCAGACTAAGGGCCAGAAAAAGCGTGTTAGAAAACGCTCTTATTTCCGACTCTTATTCCCGATTTTATGATTATGGCACCAGCGTGTAAGACCATTCCGCGTTTACTTGCATGATAACGTTTAAAAGAAGCGTCCTCTGTTGGTTTTTGTTTAATATTCCTCGAAGTCCAGAGGAGTCGTTTAAAGATGCAGTTGACGATCGGAATATAAAAGTACAATTTAAAGGTTTTGCCCCTTCCCTGAATATAGCGTTTTTTGTTTGACCTTAAAAAAGGACTTTTCAAGTACAAACATGACCCAGAAGCAACTTACCAGAGGATCGTTTTTTTCTTCCGTTAATAGCTGGCACCCGAGCACATGTGACTTTCGTGTTGTCAGTCGTGCATCTATTACCAAGTACGGGATCTTGGCAACTCTGCCAAAGTGGGGACCCTTTTATCATCTGAATGAAATTATGCTTTGTTTGCCTTTGCGCCTGTAATGTTGTGCAGTCCCCCTTGTAGTAATGCAGATCTATTTCCATCCTGACTTGATTTGGTCGATATACTCCTAAAAATAAATGTTCAATGTTAATAAAGGGTTAGATATTGGTGTAGGTGCTTCACAGGCAAATAAACCCTGCACTGGCCTTGTCGTAAACACGGAATTATTTATTCTTCTACCGGAGGGGCGAGCTAAAGTCTTCATACGAACAAATTTGGTCTGGCCAGGTGTGTGATCATTGCGACTGTCGAAAAATGGTGACGCGGTCACCCTTCTAGCCGAACCAACGTTTTGTTTTTCATGTATACAGTTTGCAAATGTAGGAAAAGGTGGCTCGCCCACTTTTATTCTTTTTCCCTCGAGAGATTCGTGCAATGGTCTCTGAGAGGGCGATAAGGAACTCATAAACGCATGAACATGTATTATCGGCAATAAGAATAATTACCAAAAGTGATTATATAGAGATTTGCGCTCTGATTGCTCGAGGGTTGTGTCATTGTCAATGTATTCACTCCGCGAGGGGTTATTACAGGATTATTTCAATCTCTGACGTCTCTGCACGAGGCCAAGAGCAAAGTATGGGAAACGCCGAGTACAATACGAGAATAATTAATGTCAAAAACCTCGCGAATGGCACTTTGTGACTGGTGGATATTAGAAGTTGTGACTGGTTGGATTGCAGATTTAGGAAAACCCGTTTTAAAGGTGACGGGATCTGTTTCATCTTTTTTTCGATACCGAGCAAATGAGACCTTAAAAGGATATTGTGTTTCAAAGTGTTCAAAGAATGTAAAAAGAGTGTTGAAACATGTCCTAAATTGGTTTAGACCTTGCCGTGCAAATGTTGTATACAACTGTTGCAATAGACCTTTTATTCTCGTGTAACCCATCAAGTGTAGGCTATTTACGTGAACTCATACTCCATTGTTCTTATCCTGATTCACGGAAACTTACTTGAGCAGTCGGGCCAGCGCCCTGGTGGAAACCATTTTCCTGTTCCGCCACAGATCCAAAGTGCGAATGGCAAACGTCGACTAAAATCCCACTGGTCATTACACAATGGACTGCACATTCGCCCAAAATTCCAGTCGTCACAAGCCTTTGCTCCATTTTTTGGAGGAGGTAAGTCTGGGCATTCTTTGGCTAAGCAGAGTATAAATGGAAATCAGTCCACATGTAAACCTTTCAAGAAAGCGGAAAATTATGACATGTATAGCTGTGTGACACAAGCGTTAATTCTGGCCTGCATTCATTCATTCATTCATTTTATTTTGCCATTAACCAGAAATACAACAGCAGTATACAGAAATACATTAAATATAATATACAATATTCCAACTAAGTTATTTACAAGATTAAATGTGGTAAAGGCAAGGAAGCCTATATAGAAGCCGGGGGCTTATAAACTATAGGCTTCCTGGAACTATAGGGTAAACCATGCAAGTTAAGGGTACTGAATGAAAATTTGGATTCATTTTTTAAAGAAAAAAAAAGAAAAAACAGAAAAAAGAAAAGAAAAGGTGTGTAGCTCAACAAAAAGTCAATTTAACTAAGGAAGGAGGAATTTTTTAAGTCTTTTGCCAAACAAACTGATACTTTCACTGTTTTGAATTTCCCGACTTAGCGAGTTGAAAAACGTATGCATGGCTAAAGAATAATGTTAGAAATTAAAGAATGTATTTTTTTTTTGCTGTTGTTGTTTGTTTGTTTGTTTAACTTCTGGTTTATTTTTCTCTACATGTATTTCCTTTTACAGTTCGATAAGAATTTTCGGGCCTATATCGGTACTCAAATTTGGAATCCTGCTCCGCCTTATCAAATTTCTTGCAGGCAGAAGACAAATATGTTGAAGTCCTCCGTCTCATAAAGTTGTTTTGCACATTACGTTAGTCTATGTTCTAAATTTTTATTAATTATTATTGTGTTCTCGCTATCATTTTGTTTACTCCATCTACTAGAATCTCGTTATGTAAATGTACCTTTCCTTCCCCGGCCTCTATTAGTTCCTATCGGGCTATTTGCCGGTGGAAAAATAGATAAGTGGGGATTTATATCAGTTGAAGTTCAACAAAATGTATTTGTTGTTGTTGTTATCCACTTCTACACATGGCTGATACTGGAGACTGTATAGCAGCGCCGAAAAGATCGAGCTTTTCCTTTTAAGCAAAAAGAAGCAGGGTCACACACCACTTACGTTTGAGCGTGACAACAAACTGACACAGAGCAGGATCATTATTTGGATTACTATCGTGGGCTGTGCACTGCACTTTCCAAGTTCCCCAATAAAACGCACTTCCACTTTGGTGACTGCATTTGACTTTTAAAGGACCATTACTGTTGTCTCGAAACTGTGGATTAGGCCACGTGATTACTGATTTCCTCGTAGGTACTGTTACGGTTTGGTCAGGAGGGCAGTACGTGACCACAGGGCTTTCATTGTCTGGGGAAAAAAAGAAAGAAAGACTGAAAAAGGAAAAAACATTAAAAACTGCAACATCAGTGTCATCGACTTGAAAATAATTGAGAACCTTAAAAGTAAGCGATGATGGTTTATGTTTTCGACATTCCGTTGATTGAGTTTATTAAATCAAAACTTGTGAACGCGTGTTGCTTCTCCACTTTTTTTTTAACAGTCGGCTCCCTAAACCAGACTACGAGACGTCTCTCTTTCTTCTTGCTGTGGCGAGCGAAACGCGCGAGACACAAAAATGACCAAGTGCGTGATGGAAGACTTTATATTTTATTTTTATTGTTTTTTTCTGTCCACCACCTTCTGGGTAGAGTCTTAAAGGTTTTTTACGGTATGAGAGAACTTAATGTGCTGAAAAACTAAATTTGGGAGTGGATCATTCGATTTTCACGTCTGCAAATGTTCGCTTCGCCCAGCTGAAATAAAATAAAAAAACTCCATCAAAATTCTGCGGAGGAGAGAAGAGGCCGCTTTCCACGTTTTCTAACGCCTGCATTCATTTCACTTAACAGGAGCACACATTAAGGTAGAAAGGCACCACAGACTGTAAGATGCAAAAATCATACTGATATCTTTCTACCCACCTTCTAGTAGAAGCTTAAAAGAACAATTTCTTGCGTTACCACGAGCATCCTTTGCAGTATATACAATGACAGTGTCCTTAGTAAAAGTGTAAGGTGGAGTGATCTGGAGAGATAGTGTGACCTCTGGATCCTCGTTACTGTTGTCCTGGGCGACAGGAATTTTCCAGTTTGCTGTTGTTGCTTTAGAGGGACTTACAGGGATGTCCGACGGACAGCTCAAGAATACAGGAGGGGTAACATCTGCAGTTAACAAGTACTCATTAACATAATCATACTACATGTCGTTGGCGGTAACTAACAGTCAACTGCTGCCTTTTCAGACGTTCTTGCTTAAAATTAGTTAAAATCGGACAAAACTTCCTCAAACCTCCCCATGAAGAAATAAGCCCTATGCTTAACTGGTGTGATACCCTATAAAAAAAAACAAACAAAACAAAAAACAAAAATAAACTAACAAACAAAATTTCATTGGAATTATAGATGACAGACGAAAGAGGAGGTGGTGGGTGCTGGATATGCACGACGCACCACTGGTCACTGATACTGAGGAACAGGAGGGCATTTTGTATGCGCATGCGTCAATATGGGCTGTTGAAGTGCCATAGAGGCATTTTCTGTGAATTGTTTACGTTCAGTACCAGCATTTGCAGGCTGTTTTCTGGAGCTGAATGACGTGTATTGGGTGCTACGTTCCTCAGACGTGTTCTTTAAGGTATCGTGGTATTTTTTTACGATGAAAGTGAGTTTATTGTAGCCTCGCTGTCGCCCTTGAGAGGACAGTCTTTCCTTTCGCAAAACAGTACATCGAAGACAAGATGGCGGCTGAATGTTCTTACCACCTAACATTTCGCGCACATTTTTTGAGCAGGAGGAAAAGGTCAGTATGATAGTTTTTCGTCGAACAATTATCCTATAGATACTTAATTCTTCTCAATAGTATAACTCTAAAATCGAACTTAATCGTTTCGAGGAATACAGTGGTTAATTAAATGTCCATTCTGCCCTGAAACTGTTTTTCACCCTTTCTCTGGCTTGTTTATCTCGAAATCTTGCCTTTCTCCCCAGATTAAGTTAATGATTAATGAAACTAAGAATACTTCCGCGAATGAAGGGCGCTTTGATGAAGGCTGTGAAAAATCGCCTTCTGTAATAATTTTAGCTTTCTTCTCCGGTACGTCTTCGTTGAGAAATAAAATACACGCACTTCAACTATAAATTTAAATCAATATAATGATGCCAGTAAGATTGTGTTTTGAAAATAAGAATATTCTATCATTTAGTTATACAAAGGAAAAAAATTACAGCAATCGGTTTGAATTCTGATTTTTTTCCACCATATTTTGATGGTACACTGTTTGTTTACATTTCATTATGCAAATAAATATAACATTTTGGCGTTTTAAAGAAAATCTAGCCTAACTCCCCAACCCCAAAATAGCACGAAATGAAACGTTATCAATACACCTTTTAAATAAATCCTGGCTTCTGTTGCCAAAAAATCGCATTTATTCCTAAATGATACCATTTTGTGGATACTACATTTGTTGATATGCTAATTTGTGAGACATTTCATTCACGAAGGATGTTGACTGAGACCAGCTTCTCCTCTGTATTGAACCACATTCTTGTTTAGTACATCAGTTTCTGCTTGATAATTCTTCCATGATGTACAACTTACATAAGGGGTTCATCTGGATACAGTAAAAAGCTCTCAACAGAAACATTAAGAACAGACAAATTTATCCATCCATTTGTGTCATGTTTGTTGTCGCATCCCAGCTCATTTGGGTCCTTTAGCAGAAGTATTTATTTTTTGAGGAAACAGCATTATATGCACCCCTTTAACAAACTTCCTATCTTATGTTCAAACAGGCTTTGAAGGTGAACAACATCGTCATTTAGATTTATATGGAGTGATGGCCATTCTCTGTTTTGAATGGATCACTACTGTCATCAAATACAGATTAATAACAAGAAATCGATTGTGGAGCACAGGAGCTGTCACTCAAGAGTACTTTCAAAATAGTAGCTTAGGAAAAATCTTTGTATCTATAGAGTTAAAGAAAAATAAAAGTACTGTTCGTTTTTTCGGAGTATGCGTGCATTCGTTTTGTCTGCAACTGAGCTTAGAAATGCTCAAGTGATTATGTTCTACCTAATCACTTGTAATTGTTTCTGTCTCAAGCTCAGTCCATTCTTCATTTCCTATAGAATATTTTTTATAAATTTTTCCGCGAAAACTTTCAAAAAACTGTAAAAACCCCATAGATTTCACGTTTTTGTGGCATATATAAACGCTTGTCTTCGCGATCAGTTTAACATGAGACATCGCGCTAATAAATAAACCTTACGTGGTAATTTTTTTTTTCGCTTTTTGCCCTAAAACAGCTGAACATTGCTACGATGCATTTCCTCCCTGATGTGTAAAACCACGAGTTTGGAAATCAAACCATAGAAATGCATTGCTTTGCCAGTGAAAATCAGACTTATACAGGAACATGACTTTTTGGCGTTGAGTCTTGAAAGTCTTTAAAAGGCCAAGGAAACCTACTGCTGAAAAATCTACAAGTGAAAACCCGCGTAGAAAACGTCTGATTTTTGTGATGGAGAATATTTTTTGAAGGAAAGTGCGGTATTCAAAGCACCAACGAAATGGCTTTTAAAAGGACTGTAACTTTACGCGCGAGTTTTCGATTTCCCGCCATCAGATTTGATGAGCCCACGCTACTGTCATTCAGCGGATTCACGCATGCGCATGCAAAATGCCCTCCTGTTATACTGAGGTAATTAACTGTTTTAGTATAATACTAAAATAGCGAGATAATTCAGCACAAAAATGATGCTTTTAACTTATTTATTTGGCACGCAAATGACCCAACTCAAAAAACAGCAACAACAATTGCAAAGAGATAAAACTTTAGAAGGCATTTGTTTAGCTCTTTCTTCCTGAAAAGTTTCTTCGTTAAAAGAAGTTGCGAATTCTTCTTGTATTTAAAATCATTCTGTAAACTATGATTCAACTTAGTTTAAGCTAATTTGTGAGTATGACAACGCATGAATCAATTTGCCATTTTTCCCTTAACTTACGAGAGTTGCGGGTCTCTCCGAGGTGAATAACGGTGGATATTCCGAGTTTGAGTAGCCACGTGCGCGCAAAAGAAAAAAAACGCTATCCACTGCGTATCGTTTTCACCACTTATAATTACTAGTAATAATTGACACAACAGCTGCCTCCGCTCTGTATATTGTCGGGCAATAGTATTCTTTGTCGTTGTGTTGTCGTTGCTCTTTGAAATATAAAGATTTCGCACATATTCCATAACACAGCTTTGATGTGAAAACATTCTCAGTTTCGAGGAAAGTTTATTCTAAACCATTAGAAAAGATTTATATAATTATAAGTTGGAATTTTTGGTTAGTATTTCTCTTTCGCTTTTTACAAACAGTTCATTTTATTTGCCGGAAAGCAAGCCTTAGAAATTAAAAGGTTCGCATCATGATTAATTCACGCTCGCGAGTTCTAGCCATTTTTAAAACTTTACCCCCTGGAGGACATCTGTGAGCAGGGAATAAGTCAGCACAGAATTTGATTGTCTGTGAATTTCTGTAATCGTCCATCGTTCTGCTACTGATAATCTAGCCGTTAATTCACTCGTCTCGCTTGTTTGGGACTGATTCTTATTCCCCCAAAGAGATCGAGAAAGAGTGTCTTGCCGATTGTTTCCAATCAAAGATTTGAGAACTCGTGTCTTGTAAACTCTCCAAGCGTTATATATACAGTTATATACAGCTTGTAACTTCATCTCTGCTTAACGAGTGTCTTTAATTTTGGTCCATCACTTTCAAAACAGCTGCTCCACAGAATCTCACCTAATAACATGTAACCGGCTAAAGAGTATCTTAGTAGAGTATCTTAGTATGACCGTACAATAAATGTCACAAAATCTACCGATGCAGTCCCTTCGGGATTTTCTGTTTTACGCCAACCTAACCATCTCTTACTTGAGGGCACGAAAAATAGAGAACGTCATCACTACCTACCGATTCCTCGCGGCTCCTGTTCAAGCAAATCGAGATTTTTTTTCCTGGCATACTGACTCTATATTTCAACTGTAAGTACTTTCCTTTATATACGCGCGAGTTACTAGTCAGTGCCTCCTGCGAATTTCGACTTCAGCGCGAAATCCCTGCGGGGGCAATTATTGTTAATCCTTATACTGTATGATGTTATAACGTATTATGTCTTTAACCAGACATACCTAAGCACTTCATAACTGAAGATCCGTTTTTGTTCCATTTTCCATCCTTTCCACATCTAATTTCATTAACACCACCAATTCTTTTAAATCCGTGCTTACAACCCAAGTTGCAAACAGTTCCGCTGATCGGATTTGAGGAGCAAAAATGAGGGTAAATGAACCCGAACTGTGGCGCCTTTAGAGATGAACATCGCGCTAAAAAAAAAATTGGGAGAAAGAGAGAAAGAAAGAAAGCAAAGGAAAATGCATTCATTGCTTGAGAGGTTAACTAATGGTCGTGGATCGCGGGTGGCGGGTTGTATGTCGCGGGTGTGGATTGAAAGTCGCCGGTACGATTTGGATGACGCGGGTGCGGGTTTCGATGTCGCGTGCAAAAATGATTTTGCGTGAAATTCAAGTTAGAGTGGAAGTAATTAAGTAAAAATGACTGATATAATCAGTCATAAGTATAATTTCAATTTGGAAGATATCAGGATCTATTTTATCGCGGTAAGTGTTGGGCGTTATTTAGACCCGTCAAACAGCACACAATCAGGTTGCAGACAATGAAAGCCAGAAAGTATTACAATAAAGTTACTTTGCAAGACCTTTTTATACCGCCTTGGAGCTTTGTATCTGGTAAATACGTGTGCAACATCAAGTCGAGCTTTTACGCGCTTGTACTGCTTCTTTGAAAAGTGTTGAAGTTAATGCGTCAATATTCTGAGAAACGTAATGTCTAAATACACCACGAACGGAAAGAAGTCATTAAGGAAAACGATGAGTCGGTTCATTTTTTCTGTCCGCGTATTGAAAGGTAAATATGCTGAACAATACTCGACCGTCGATAAAGTAGGACATGAAAATGTTATAGCGGTGATGGCTGGGGCGTTAGGTTTCTCAGAATATTGACGCAATTACTGGAACACTACGGTTAAATAGATTCGATATTGCATATTCACTCTGTTGTATGTGTTTAATTGCTAGCTTTTTTGCAGTTGTCAGTTGGTAAGATGTGATTCGCGTTACATTTTATAACCAGTACTTGAGATATCAATGATTTCAGAACTTTACTTGCACAGCACTTAATGTCCAATGGAAACTTCTGGGGAATGTGTATTTTTTTTCCTATTTATTATATTGACGTCCTCATTGATGTTTCCTTGGTGTCGTAGATTCGCAAGGTCGTTCTCGATCTTTGCCTGGTGGCAATGCCTTTGATTGAGGAAGATATTACATCATTATTGCCTAGACATCATTGGAAATTTTTACTTTAGATTTTTCCAGTTTAAGTTTTATTAATAGTCTTACTTAGCCATAAGGCAGTCAATATTTACTACGTAACCTACGCCCCCTCAAATCCTTAAGAATTTATCTCCTCCTCATTTCGTATCTAATGTCCAAGCAAGCTCGAGTTCAACTTTTAGAGTGTCTTGTTATAAGAGATAGACCGGAAGAAATGAAATAATTAACGATGGCGGTTTAGATTCAGATTAAATAATGTTTAACGTCTTCTTTCGGAAACAAATCGAACTATCATGAATTGCTATTCACTATCACTGCCCACAAAAAGCAACGCAATCCTTAACATACAGTATTTCTCACCGGGACAGGGCTGAGTGTTGCAGATGTATCTTTCTTCTGATTCCCCCTGACAGCTTTTACCACCAAAGCTTGGAGTTGGGTTTGTACAGCTCCTGGAACGTTGCTGAGACCCACTTCCGCAGGATTTACTGCAGGAAGTCCAATTACCCCAACTTGACCATCCACCGTTCACTACAGAGCAGGAAAGAAGTAAAGGTCTACAATATTAGTCGAGATTTTGTTAGATGAATAACGTACTTTAGTATAATTAAATTATTAGTATGATTATAATCCTCACTATAACCAGGGTCCGTGCTTATCATTGAAATATATATCGGTTATCTCCTTAATAATAGAGAGAAGTGCTAAAGAGCTACTCGAAATTGATTTTTTTTCCCAATGTGTTCTTTTCTTTTTCAGAAACCGTGCTCCAGTTTCCAACCTTACCCAGTTTGCTGCAAATCGGTATAAGCTTCGCTATAGTCAACTTGAGATTGATTATTGGGCGGATATCAGCAGTTTCAGCAAATAACAGCCTGTAAATCTCTATCATAATCACTTCAATAATTATATTCTAAAAACAAACACTAACAAAGAAAGTGTGGAAAGGAACTAAACATTAGTGAGCACAAAGCATCATTGTTCAAGACAGTCGACAGCCATTTTTTCTTTCGGCAATCGATTGCGAATAAATCCCTTCATCCATACAAGATTAAACTGACAAAAGAAGATAATGAACAGAATTCTGTTCTTAGATGAAACTATTTCAGTTTTGCAGCCACGGGCGCTTCAGAAATTTTCCTTTCCCTTTCTTGTTCGTAGCTGAATTTTTTCTCTTGAAGGGTAAACTTAAACACGCATGAAGTAAAATTTCAATAACAATTAAAAGTATTCCTCACCTGGGCAAACGTGCGTGTTGCATATTTGAGATTGGCGAGATAACCCTACACAAGGTGTTCCACCGTTTTTAGGAATTGGATTTGTGCAAGTCCGATTACGTTCTTGATAACCAGTTCCACAGCTTTGGCTGCAATTGCTCCATGAATCCCAACTAGACCAACCACCGTTAACTTTAAAATTAAAATAAAACGGACGAATGATCGAAAAACGAAAATGACAAGAAAAACTATCAAACAAGCAACAACAACAAAAAAAAGGCGAGAACAGTTGGATGGCCTATCAGGCTATCCCTTTCCAGCGCTCTCAAATACTTGTTTCCCAGGATATTACTTCAGCGAACTCTAACGGTATCTTAACCCTATTTTGTGGTAAAAATTTGCGTTAGAGTTAAAAAGAGACCTAACAAAGAACTAGGACTTTATAAGTGACTTTTGCTTAGTGCTTCAAGATGACGTTAACCCTTTAAACCCTAACATCAAAATTTGAATTTTCATTTGCTGCCCCCATTAATTTCCCACGAAAGTAGGGGGGAGAAGTTGATAAAATATCAAGTAAATTCACCTTGTGGGATCATGTCCGTAATTCCCATGACCACCCTGTTTTATACAGCATTGATATATTACAAGGAGAAATTTGATGCTGATCAATCTTAGGGCTTGAAGGATTAAAGTATTTTTCGCTCGGTCTCCAATCTTTTAAAATAATGTTTACCTCCTTGACAGCACTTTCCACTGTTACCACTTTTACAACTACACACTCCTCCTTGGGGAGTTCCGCCATTGTAGCACCACGCATTGCACGCCTGATATTGACTGAGTGAATAAGGGCATGATCCACCGCAGGTGGCCCCCCTAACTACATAACGTGTTCGCCATTGGCCTCCAGTCGATCCGCAGCCTTGGTTACAGCCACTCCAATGCGACCAGCGACTCACCACACAATTTGTAACTGGGCAGCGTCGCCTACGACGCCTCCTCCAACCTTGAGCTTGATCCGAAATAACAAGCAGGAGAACCAGAAAGAACCAAAGCGATCTTGTTGGCATTATTTTGATAAAACTGTGGGTAAAACAAACACAAACAAACCCTGAAACTAAAATTTAATGCAGTTTAAATGCAGATTGGGAAAGCAAGATTAAGGTGTACATAGGAAATTGTTCAATTTCAATAATGTAAAATTACCTGTGTGAGAGGGACTCTTGACTAGTAACCTTCCATTACGGAAGTAATTCGAAGAGCAATCAAAAAAGCACCCACAAGACTCCGGATCAAAATTTAAATGAGACAACAGAATATAAAGATAAAGACTGAAGCATTTTAGCACATCGCAAAGGAGCATAAAAGATGTGTTAACGTGGCTTTGAACCTAGACAATTTAGCGCCGGCAAGTTATTGTGTGCAAGCAAATCTTGGTGCAAGTTGTTTGTTTTATGAGCTTCAGCTTATCAATTGACCTTGGATCTGTAATTTAGCTCAGGAAAGCGTTAACCTGCGCAGGGAAATACTGGTAATATGTACCCTGTTGGATTCTTAGAAAACAATGAAAAAATACAAAAGAGCAACTTGAACAGAGACAAACCTTTTGGTCCCACTGTGTACACAGCTTTGGAAAATTCTGCATGCAGAAGGCAAAACATTTATCTCTGCCTAACAATAGTCTGCGTCGCAGACGTAACTTAAGACTAGTATGATCAAAATTATCTCCTAAACAAAGAGGCATTTTCTTAAAGCAGAGGAATCCTTCAAATCAAAACATCAACTTAAACTTTGCCCTCGATTCAGGACCGTTTTAGTTCCACACTTTTGAAGTGAGCCGACACTTTAGGCATTAAAATGATGACGATGATGATGGTGATGATGATGACGATGATGAGGATGAGGGTGATGATAATAATAAAGCAATAAAATAATAATCATTATCATCATATTATCACAAATAGGAAAATAACAACATCATCAAATCAAAAACAAGTATGACAAGTAGGTCGTGTATATGAAATAAATATTGCCAAAACGAACTATTTAACACTCAGAAGCCGCATTTGCAATGCAACGACGTATCTTCAGCCTCAGGGACTTTATTAGGTGAGTCGCTCCACACAAGGAATCCATGATAGTCTTAAATTCTGGATTCCACGGACTCGATTCCGGATTCCGGTTACCGAATTCCAGACTTTGTACGTGGAACTTGGATTCTAGGTTCAAATCGTAACTGGGATTCCAGATTCTTGGGGCAATATTTCGGGTTCCATTAAGCCCTGGTTTGCGGATTGTCCGGCAAATTTTCCCCGAATCCGAATTCCACAAGCAAAAATTTCCCGGAATCCGGATTCCCTTATATGGGACGAATGTGTTCTTCTTATCTTTTAAAAGTCGGCATACTTAACTTTGAGATTAAAACTTGTGCTGCTTTTTATTCTTTCTTGAAATAGCATTTAATAGTAACTATATCTGATGTCTGTAATATAAGAAATCTGGAACAAATTCAGGTGGCGATGTGTCAGCACGAATTTTTTGTTGTAGTTTTTTGAGGAGGGTTGAAAGGGCAGTGTCACCAAGATTGTTTTCTCTAATAAAAAATCCAACCAATAAGTTTCAAAGTACAATGAGAATCTCGTGACGGTGGCCTGTTCGTCTTCGGTGAAATACTGTTAACAAAAAAGTCGACCAGGGGCCCATTTCTCGAAAGTCCCGATAATTAACGGGCCTGGTAAGCTGTCTCAGTTTCCATTAAAGATCGAGGTTTCAATAGTTTTGCATCTAACAAGATAAAACTATCATTTAACGAAACAAAATAGAGTAGTTTGCTAGCCAGGACCCGCGCTCTTATTCTTTTTATTTCGATTTGAATATTTGATTTCGGGCCCGAAAAGTTAACGGGACTTTCGAGAAACGGGCCCCAGATGCACACTGGCCAAATTTGTATCAAGTCGAATCAAGGGTGTACCTTCGTAATTCTAGTTCGGTTTACGCCAAAAATCGAGGAAATCATCTTACAACTGTCTCTCTGAACGAATCAGTCACCTTTTATATACATATATAAAACTGCAAAGTAAAGAATAAAATTAGGTCATCATTCTTTTGAAAATTACAAAAATTGCGCCTAATCACTATATATTACAATCATCACCTCTAAGGGGCAAGCTGCCTGAAAAGCGTTTCATGAAGGCGGAGAGAAGACCATGCTTACAAAAAATAAATTGAGTTGTGTACACATATTAGAAACGTTTTATGTATACTGATGTATATGCGGATATATCGATCGGATATATGGAATATCCAAAAGCCTTTTGATTGAAACTAATTCAAAAAAAGACACTTTCTCGTATCTTTAGGTTAAGCCACTTTAAGACATACAGCTGACATAATATGTAGGCTACATTGACAAAATAGACGGATAATTAAGACCTGTGGCTTTCCTTCCCAAAATGGATGAAGAACGGATGTTGCGTTTTGGCCTTTGTTCAGTGTCATCCCTGGTATATGGGGGAAGGGAGGAGATGGGGAGATTTTCTTTTCACTTTTAATCTGCTTGCAAGATCGTTGGTGCATACCACAAGCTGGGGAACTCCCCGAAAAATGCGCGTACAGTGTATGGGTTGCTCAGACTCTGCAAATGTATGAGACCCATATTAAATGGGTATTTGAGAATATTCACTGTCCCATATCTACGCTTTAACCTAAGTGTAAAAAAAGTAGTAATGCAAGATACAAAGAGCAATTCATTTTGCGTTGATAGAACGTTGACACTATTATTACGTCCCTGGAAACTGCCAATTGACAATGGGGAGTCTTATATTATAGTCAGGAAACAATACGCTTTAAATAATTAAACACGCCTCTTGGAATTTTGACAAAAGATTAGTGAACTAAACAAGATAGCCTCAAGCCGAGGCATCTTGCACGTGATAGATATCAACTGATTTCAATGACTGACATTAATTTATTGCCGAAAACTGATAACTTATAATTAAATTGTAGTTTTACATTTTTGAGTCAGCTAAAAGCATATAATGGAGCTATTATTATCATTTTAAGTTTATTTTTTGGGCAATTTAAGGCTCTCTCGTATTACAGAAAGATTAGAACCGAAGTGTAATTCGTAGTAAAGCATAGAACATGTAAATTGAACATCCCCAAAAGAGAGTGTTTGAAGGTGGATATCCCCGAACAACTTCACCAACAGATTTATCATAAATCTGCAGCTGGCCAGGCAGCCGTGCGCATAAAGTTATCATTTTTTTCGAATCCTTCACACATTTCTCGCATTCAGTGAAAAGCAAAAAGGGAGAGGACAATATTTCCTTTTATTTCTTAGCTTTTTGTTAGAATCATTACTGCAGTTAGTTTAGGTTGGCTTCCAAAGAAGCATGTACCTGTCTTTTATATTACTGAAGTATCGGCAGTTTTAGTATTGGGCAGCTCAAGCCATAATGGAGTGGAATCAAAATGCCGAAGATGCTGAGGCGGAAGCGGGCAGTCTACAGGGTTGAGTCTTTATTTCCTTTTCCAGGTCAACTTTAAAAAATAATAATGATATGCTTTTAGGGTCATTCGAAAGCACCAGCTTTCACCTAAGAGTGCTGATTAGCAGCGTCTGATACACGTTGATACCGGGATATTTAATCCATTTGGCTAGATTATCGAAAAGTTTTGGATGATGATCTTTTTCCCCGTGTTCTATATCTGTATGTGCATTCTTGGTGGTATTAGGGTAATTTCTCAGAAAAACTTTGCATGATGCATATTTGAAATCTAATATAAACTTCGTGTTTTGTGTGATCAATACGACGATTTTGAATACGTTGCTGGAACGGTTCCATTATATAAAGATTGCGCTGTTCACCATATTGGCTCGGATTACAACAACTGTACTTATTTGTATTCTACCCCGAGTTGCTGCTTTAACTCTTGTAGCAATGAGTGGTGCTATTTTCACCATTCTTCCTACTGCAAATTATATAATAATGTTACCAGCTGTTCGTTACTACAACCGTAAGGAGGAAGACAGTTTCATCACAGCAATTGCAAGGAATACTACGACGCGAGAAGAAAGTTGCCAAGGACATGTTTGTTATTTCTGTTGTTCTTGACATCTGTGTGATTCAAAAAATTGTGGTTGTTTTCTTTTCTCAGCCGTTTGGCAACCTTTACCCTAGTTTTTTCCTATGGTCCACAACTTTACTGCTGCTGAATTCGAGTATTACAGTCAAGCCAGGTCAAGTGTTTCCATTAATAAATTTATTATTCGAAAGTTGTATCCGTTGGCAGTTACAGATTTCAGATTCATCTCTGCATTCTTGCATGTGTAATGGCCGTGAATGCACACGCAATTCAGTTACGAAACTTCTACCAACTCAGTTTCCCTGAATTTGATGTAAATGTCTTCTGAGAATTTTAATCCATTCAAAGATTTTCAATCTGGCCAAATACAGAGAAGATCTCGTAAAATATTCACGGCTCATTACGTATGCAGGAATGCCGATTTGAATTTGACACCAGTTACCGGAACGACTAACGGATACATTTTTCAAATAATCAATTCATTAATAGAGTCTTGGAAGGTACGCTTGACCTTCTTGGAGGGTACGCTTGACCTGCTTTGATTGTAATCCAGTTCTTTATATATGGCGACGTGCGCTTAGATCTGCTCTGAGGTCCATGGCAAACATCTGATAACATGGGCAAATGAACGCAAACAAACAGAAGAACATTTCTAAAACATCGAGCACTTCTAAAGCTGCCTCCTACTTAAAATGTTTTTTTACCCATGTTAGCAATCAGAAAATAATTAAGAGGGTTTGGCTCATGAACCTAGTTTAGTGGCCTGGGCTCCCACGGTCTCCTGTAGCTCAGTGGTAGAGCATCTGGACTGGTACCCTTGTAAAAAGTCATAGGTTTTGTTCCGAGCTAACAGTGTAACTAGCTGAAAAAAAATCTTTCCCAAGGAAGAGGGTATTCGGAGCGCCAAGTGAAGCCAGCAAATGCCCTGCCCTAAAATCCTATTTTTCTTCTCTAAAAATCTACAAATCCCAATTCTCACTCTCAGCCCTTTCATGTCCGCCAATGAAAAAAATTGCACACAGGAAGCCAAAGAAAACTAAAGCGTTTACCCGCTACGTGGTATCGCTATTTCAGATAATGCCACAGTCCACAACAAATTACTCCAGTGTTTTGGCATATTTCATTGCAACGGAATAAACACCCGGATAAACCACATTTTTTTTTTTTTGCAGAATACCAGTTGTATTAGAAAACCGTAAGTCATCTCAGGGGGGGCACCCCTGCACCCTCCCCCACAACACCACTACATGATTTTATTTCATAATTGTCATTTATTTTTTCTTAAAACCGTTTTTAGTGAAAAAAAAAAAAAAAAAAAAAAAAAAAAAAGGTTGTTAGCGGAGCCCCATGCGCGGCGCGAAGCAACCCAAATGCATCTCAAGGTTTTATTTGGAACGAAATCACATGGCCGCCCGGACTTTTAGAAAAAAAAAACAACAACAACAAAGTCGTGTCTTTTCGGCGTTATTTTTTATGTTTACACTATAACGTGGACAACAGACAAAGAGCTAGAGCGAGTTTTTGAAAACAAAGGAGACGAATTTCGTAGGGAGAAAAACATGGAAATTCAAAGCGACGGTGAGAAAATAAAAAACGCAAGAGGCCAGCAAGGAGTGGCCAGCAAGGTTAAAATGAGCGGCGGTGAAATATAAAAGCGAACCTGAACACAGGAAACAAAATTTTGGGTAAACACATACGACAATTCCTCCATAAAAATAATGTGTAACTAGGAAGTTTGACGTTTTAGTTGTACAAAACAGCGTTGTAATGGTGCAAAACAACGGCAAGGGACAAAAAAGCACGCTGCACGTGCAAATTTGTTTTTTGCTAATAAGAAGAAGAAGTGTGCTGCACGTGCAATTTGTTTTTTTGCTTAGATCTATTAGCCTTGAAGTCATTTTCATTGTCGTCTCCGTTTAACGTCAAACGATTTAATTTTTTTTCCAGTTTATAAGTATTATTAACCAGAGCTTCGCTTTTAGCCCTGGCTAAATCTATATATTATATTCGCTCTAACTACCTCGCCTTTTCTGATTGGCTCAAATAACCTAATTGTTCCTCACCAGCAAGCGCTTGTAACATTTGGATGATGTAGGTAATATACTCATTGATGGGTTATTACTCGGTATTTAATAGCAACCTCTCTTCCAGGCAGCGGGGCGGCAGCCAAGCCGTTTATGGACGAGTGAACTAAAAATCATGGCGAATGAGTATACTGCTATCGGAAGAAGAAATGGACAGCCATTTGTCTCAAAGTGAACGGAAGAAATGTATGGATATGCAACACATATTGCTCGATGTACTTTTTAAGGAGTATCTGCAAGAAAAAAACCTTTTTGTATTTTCTATGTTTAGCTATATTTAGGTTCCATGAACGTATAAAAAGCCCACGGGTGGCCGGGCCCCCTGTGGTTGGCAAATGCCCAATCCCCGGGTTGCACCAAACTTTGCTAACGCCCCACCCAGGGAATGACAGAGCGCAAAAACGGCCAGCTTTCGGCTCGGAAGATAATTAAGGACGAAACTGGAATATATTGATGCATTATAAGTGAAATAAAAAAACAAAGGTGATAGCCAAAAAAAAGCAGGAATCTCAATTCGGGAATCAAGACAGCTGTTGCGAGTAAAAATAACTTTACCATGCAATATGGTTTTCAATGTATTACACGACCTCCACAAGACCTTTGTTTTACTTTTACCATTAAAATTGCCAAAAACTCGGACAGCTGCATTTCACCATGTCCCCTGAGTTCCAAAATTTGTGGTTCTTTTTTTGTCTGTCATTTGCCAGCCTCTACCCTAGTATTTACTTATCGTCCACAACTTTATTGATGCCGACTCGAGTATTAATCCAATCCTTTATATCTGGCGGGACCCAAGGCTTCGAGATACTCTGAAGTCTATAGTAAACACCGGAAAACATCTCCAAGCAAACACTAACAAACAGAGCAGCCGAAACCATTTGTGAAATTGCACACATTTTAGGCATCCTGATGACGAACAGTTACGCTATCACTTAAAAATATTCAGAGCAATTTGCCGTCTGTCCCCTTTGAATTAAATTATTCCTATATAAATTCTAGGAAGGGTCAGTAAGAACGGTTTTGAAGTCAGTATTCATTTTTCGGTTGTTGTTGTTGTTGTTGTTGTTTTTTTTTTGGAGGGGGCGGGGGGCTGGGGTGAAAATAATAATTCAAAATAATAATTCAAAATAACAAAAAACGGAGGTTTTTGACCAAAAAGTTAATAAACTTCGGAAAATTCGAAAACGTTCAAAGTTCGATCAAAGTAATGCATTAATCTGACACTAAGGAAAACGGAGACGTTTAATGTAAATCGGTTAGTAATAAAAGTAACAAAAAAAAAAACGAAGTTGAAGGCGAAACAAAACAGGAATTACAATCGCGGAATCAAGACATCTGTTGCTAGTAAAAACTAATTTTTCGTCCAAAATAGAATCAAAACTATTACGCGACCTAAGTGTTAGCTTCTAAATAAAGTTGTCAAAATTGTCAGCATACCACCATTTATATGTCCCCCGAGTTCCGTTTGGAAAATGAAACAAATATACTTCAAACTTCTTTTTAGGGCCGAATATGTCTTGTTTACAGGTCAAGCCTTTCTTGAAACCTGTATCTGCTTGGTGGATTACTTACATCTAATTTCATGTAATTTTTCAGATTTATTCGTTGTGCCCATGAAATTAAATATTCTAAAAAATCTGAATTCATTTTTCGACTCAAATTTTTTCAATAGTAGGTACTGAAAGAAGATATATCATTTGATATATATTTTCGTGCAATAAATTGCATCAAAATATATTTAACAAATGAACCAATAACCAACGTATTAGCTACATTGTAGCTCAATATTAATTGATTTCAAACAATCACTGCCACAAGTAAAGCTGAAGCCGACGTTTTAAAATGATTAGCGGCTTGTCGTTGATTACTCAGCTAGATCACATCACGAATTAACTTATCATTTCTTGCTGTACAATACATATAAATGAACTCTATTTTGAAACCCCCGCACTGCAAGCCTGACTTACTAAGAGGGCGATGGAACAAAATTGAAAAAAAAAATGATGATGATAATAGAGAACCGTTAGGGTAGAACGTGAACAAGGATCTCCCACAAGGTGAGGAAAACTAGTATTTTAATAGCAATGTATTAAACTTCGCAAATGCAGAAAAAGAAAGATAAAACTTAGTAGCACATGTGGTCTACTTTTTTAATTTAAATGCTATACTCGATGTGAGATTTGCAAATGCACCATTATTGAGAGGACAAGCTATTTTTGTTTGTTCAAAAGCGAGCTAACTGCTGTTTTAAAAACTTAGAGCGAAATTAATCACTTTACTAAGCAGATGAGTTTATTGGTGAGATTGTTTTAAACTTCTTTGCCATTGCGTCCGCATTACAGATGATCGATTACTAATAGTAAAAAGCCCTTTTTAACATTGTTGTCGTGTTTACTTAAGCAATGGAAAATGTTTTCTGTGTTTGCATAGCCTGATATAAACACGAAAGGAGTTGGGAGAATTCGAGACAGTTATGCAAACCCGAGACGAAGTCTCGGGTTTGCATAAGGGTTCACGAAGGGTTTGCATAACCGTCGAGAATTCTCCCAACGCCTCGAGTGTTTATATCAGGCTATGCAAACACAGGAAAAACGTTTTCTATTGCTTTTATGAAATAACTTTCCGAGAAAAAACGCAAAACTCTTTGCATGGCACTGACTAAAAGATAAATTTCGCAAAGTCTTGTCCACGAAGTCGTGCACGCGTAATCAGTTCTTGTTTTGCAAAAAGATGCTTTCCAAAATACGGACTTTTCTCGCTTAAAATGTCAGCTTAAGCGAAAAAAAATTGACACACCTTCTTTGTAATGATTTTCCAAGTTTCAGCCGACGAAGGAATGGGCAAATAAAGTAAACCTGTCGAGTTTTGAACTCGAAAACTTTTTCAAATTCATGCTTGCGTGATTAGCGCGCGAAAAGCAAAACATCTTGACGCCACAACCATGTTTACATACTCTCATGGAAACACTCCTCTCGGCCAATCAGAGCGCACGTACTATCTTCGTTATTTTATAAAATGATTTGGAGAAAGTAACTAGCTCTGATATCGAAACATTTCAGTGTGATGTGATGGTGTGTGGACATAACGGAAAACGCGAACCGGTAATGATAGAAACCCATACACTATGTGGGAGGAGTTCGGTTGTTGGTTCTCTCCTTTCTTTAGAGAGGTTTTTTCCCGGCTATTCTTGTTTTCCCCATTCCTCAAACACCATCACTTCCAAATTCCAATTCGACCAGGAATGGTAGACGATAAACCACGTACTATGCGGATCTGCTAGTTATTTATTTGATTTTATTTTTAATTTGCAAGAGACTGCGAGCAATGTCTGGTTTCAATTTATGCAGGTTGCGAGGAACAACCACTCAGGTGCTTAAATCGCATCAGCATTATCCATTCTTTCATAGATAGCCACATATGGTATATTGAAAGTGTTAAATTCCGCTGACAGCTTATCACTTTGACACATTATTATTCTTAGTTCTTAGATGGCTACAATGGTGATAGGCACTGATGTATGCGATCTTCCAGAGTGGGTCCCTGTTCCAACCAACGACTCTACCAGCAGGATAATTAACCTTTCAATTGCTGGCTCAAACTTGCCGTTTGGTATCTTCGCGTTTCTTAGCAACCTTGCCATCATTGTTACTGCCCTTAAAACACCCTCCCTTCAAAGGCCTTCCAACATTCTCCTATGCAGCCTCGCCACATCAGACTGCCTAGTTGGGTTGGTGGCTCAACCGTTATTTGTTGCATGGTGGATGCATATTCAAAGAGCTCAAGATTATTCGTGTCTTTATCTACAACCACTTACCCTGGCTGCATGGATCGCCAGAATGTTTCCAGTAGGATTGTTCTTGACCAACTTGACAGTTATCAGCCTGGATCGCTGTTATGCATTGTCCTGGCCTTTGTCCTACCGGGCAAAGGTCACAAAACGAGGTGATGCATCATTTCGCTTATGATAAGTTTCGGGGGCATTTTTAGTAGATCTAGTCGACTGAGGGATGAAACGGCCATAATTACAATCGCAAATGGCATATTTTTGCTTGTGACGTCATTAGCCTATAGCTACCAGACAACAATAACAACAACAACAACAGTTTATTCAATCTGAAAAGACTATTTTATCCACAATTAGTATAGATATATTTTCACTTGAAAGCTAAGGTTATTGTTATAGCGAGCCTTTACCGCGCACAAGCAAGCGAGAGCGGAGCGCCACAGCTAAGAATATTTGGTAATCTAACCAACCGAGAAATTTCGGAAACCACGTGACCGTACTTCCGTCCATCTGCACCAAAGACAACCCAATGTCTAATGTCAAACTCTTTAGCTGAACATATATACATCAATGAGAAGGTCAATTGTCAGCTGTCAAAACAGGGTATACGTAGACCATTGTCACATGAACGTATCGCGGGCTCAGGCGCCAACTCATCGAGGTCACGTGTTTTTTTAAAATTTCCCGCTGACGAGTTGTTAGCTTTTAATTGATTGCAGGCTCAAGTTTATGTTTTACAGTCATATAATTCTCCCATAAATTTAAGTATAGATTTGTGGATTTCTTTCCAATGGTTTGAAGTCGATTGCTGAAGCAAGAGTTTTGTTTGAAGTAGATTTAAAGTGCAAAAAAGGGAGCTTCCATTTTATGTCTGGCTAAATCTATATATTATAAATCTGAGTGGAATGTGGAAACCCTCTTAACAAATAATGGGTATAGTTTAAGCGCTTGGGAAACCTACCTCACTATTATTACATTAAGTACAAAACGGTTTTTAAAATAGCACTATTGTTCCCACTCCCACCCCACTCTTCGGTACTAAGACAAGAATGACTTCAAGAACGAGATATTGTTTCAATTCTAAGAAGTGTGCGCGCGTAAACCCACTTCGTTTTGGCGGGAAAACCGCCGTGATAGCCGTCGCATTCATTCTGCTAGGGGTTTCCGCGAAAATGTCGCAGTTAGTGAAACAAGTTATCAAATGTTAGAAGTTCTATCATTTTGCGATTCGCAGATTGGGGCTGAAAAATCCTTCATTAAGAAAGAAAAAAAAGGGGAGACTGGGTACGTGACACAAATTAAAGAGGTCATTTTCGCCTTTGTAAGCAAATTCAAGACAGTCTTGGATTGTGGATTGTATGCCCTAGATTCTGGATTCTTTGTCAGTAAGTTTAGCTTTGGGATTCCGGATTCCTTGAGCTGTAGTCTGGATTCCGTAGCGCAGGATTTCGGATTCCAAAAGCAAAAGCTTCTGGATTGCCGAATCCGGATTCCCCTACAAACAAACAGCTCCTGAAAGAAAGCAGTAAAGTAGAAAAAGGAGCGAGAATTTCGAAAACATAAGGAAAACAATAAGGAATTGTTATTATCTTTCAAACTTAGACGGCTAAACATGTGCATCAAGATATTTATAAGTTCATTTTCATTCGTCATCTGTTAATCAAACATATTGAACCGTGTTAGTGGCCGATGTATTTATGGAAGATGGTTGCGATGCCTTTAGCATGATACCTTCTAATCTCGTCCATTACTCCGCTAACATTGCTACAATTGTTACCATTCTCATTTTCTATTTACGTTTTATTCTACTTTTGTTTAACTGCATGCATATATAGAGTTTGAATGACTTCGTTAAAGCTATTTTAAATTTTTACACAGGGACCATAAAGATTGCTGTGTTCACCACATTGGCTTGGATTACAACAACAGTATTTATTTGTATTCTACCCCGAGTTGATGCTTTAATTCTTATGGCAATGGTCGGTGCTATTTTCACCATTCCTCCAACTGCCAATTATATAATAATGTTTATGGCTATTCATTACCACAATCGTAAAGTGCAAGACATGGTTTCATCGCAGCAATTGCAAGGAATTTTACGGCGCGAGAAAAAAGTTGCCATAGACATGTTTATTGTTTCTGTTGTTCTTGCCATCTGTGTGATTCCAAAATTTGTGGTTATTTTCGTTTCTCAGTCAATTGGTAGCCTTTACCCTAGTTTTTACTTGTGGTCCACAACTTTAGTGCTGCTAAACTCCAGTATTAATCCAGTTCTTCATATATGGCGGCGCCGTGCGCTTAGATCTGCTCTGAGGTCCATGGTAAACATCTGACAACATGGGCAAGTGAACGTAAAGAAACAGAAGGACATTTCTAAAATATCGAGCACTTTTAAAGCTGCCTCTTACTTAAAATGTTTATTACCCATGTTAGTAATCAAAAAATAATGAAGAGGGTTTGGCTCATGACGCTAGGGTAGTGGCCTTAGCTCCCATGAGTCTCCTGTGGCTCAGTGGTAAAGCATCTGGACTAGTAACGAAGCAGAAGGTCATAGATTTTGTTCCAAGCCGTCTGTGTCACTGACTAAAAACCATCTTTCTCAATGTAAAGTATATTTGGAGGGGAATGTGGAGCCTGAAAAATCATTGCCCTAATATCCCAGTTACCTTATATAATAATCTGCAAATCCCAATCCTCATTCTTTGCCACTTTAGGACCACCAATGGAAAATCTGCACAGGAAGCCAAATAAAACTAGACGCGTTTACCGCCTCTTAGTATCATTTTCTCAGATAATGACAGGAGTCCACAACAAATTACACGTTTTTTTTTTTGCATATTCCAATGCAATGAAAAGAAACTGAAATCTTTGGGAAATCAAAAGTTTTTTATAAGGTGGTATAAATGTCCACAACTGATAAATACATCAGATGTATTTTTTCTATTAATGAAATAGAAAGAAGATTCTTCTTTCTATTTGATTAATGATCCATTTTCAAAACATTTCTTTTAAAATTATTTTGTTTGTTTATTTATCCCACCCAATACACGTCCACTGAAACTGCGATTCGTGCAGAGCACAATCGGTGACACAACATCTAGCAGTCGGAGATTAGAATTTGGAGTTCCGCAAAGTTCGATACTCGGTCCTCTCTAGTTTGTTTTTTATACAGCACCTATTCAAGACATAATCTCTGCTCATAACGTAGATTGTATGTTCTAAGCAGATGACTGTCAACTCTACATAACTATTGACCCTCATGATCAAAGTCCTGCCCTCAACACCCTTCAGAAGTGTATCAGTGAAGTCATAGAATGGAACACTATCAATAACTTAGTATGCAATCGTAGAAAAACAGAGGTCATTCAGTTTAGTTCTCGTTTCGTCAAGAACCCAATTCTCAGTGATTTGTTTATTGGCAACGTTAGAGTACAACCATCAGACCGAGTTTGTAATCTTATTGTCAACCTAGATAGACAGCTCAATCTCATATTAATGAAACATGCAAAAAGGCTATGCTAGCGATTCGATTCACTGGCAGATTGAGGAAGTATCTGAGCAAGGATCCCCTTAGGATGAAGGTCAGTGCTTTTGTTACGTTGCGCTTGGATTATTGTAACAGTTCATACTGTGGCTTATCCAAGCAAGAAATAGACAAGCTGCAACATGTTTAAACTGTGCTGCACGCTTGGTTTCAGGAATAAGAAGATCTAGCCGTATAACTCCGGTCATGAAAGATTTGCACTGGCTTCTTATTGGCACACGCATCGATTTTAAAAAATTGCTTTTTATTTACTATTGTAAGCGCATTGAGAATTCGTTAAATGCGCCATAAAAACCTACTGTTGTTTTTGTTATTATTATTTTTATTGTTATTATTATTATTATCATTATCATTATCATTATCATTATCATTATCATTATCATTATCATTATCATTATCATTATCATTATCATTATCATTATCATTATCATTATCATTATCATTATCATTATCATTATTATTGGCAACGGGTCACAATCACTTACCAACTGAAGGCAGAAAGAAATTATCACCACTCTGAAAAGCTCGAGTTCTGGGCATTGAAGTGGGCAGTGTGTGAACATTACAGAGACTACCTTTACTGCGCTCTTCATTTTGTTATTTATACAGATTACAACCCCCTGACTTAAGTGCTCACGACTGCCAAACTAAATGAATCTGCTAATCGCTGGGTATAGGACTCATCGCTGGGTATCGGAACTTGCAGATTTCTCATTTACCATAAAGTAAAGAGCCAGACATTCAAACAGGAACGTAGATGCACCATCAAGAATGCCAGTGGATTTTGCCTCCTATGAAAAGTTGTGTACTGAAAGCATGTTTCGAGCTGATATCATGGCAGTACTTCTTGGACTAAGGCCACAACAGCATGGAGAAACAACTTGGGTGTCTGCAGTGAGTCTTGATACTAGTGTTGTAGATCTTGATGATGTGTCTGTGCAGTAGTCACTGGTGGTAGCCAAATAAGTAAAACGGCCCTGTTGCCCAAAGACAAGAGCCTACCATAGGTAAATTTCTGAAGTTCAGGGAAAGCGGAAGGTAGCCTTCGACTTGGGAGAGAAAAAAGAATCGCTAGCCACAAGAGTATTACTAAAACAGCGGTCTAAGATCTACCTGGGTAAAGATGGTCTGTTATACAGGAATAGTGAATCATTTACTCAGTTATTGTTGCCGAAGTGCTCTCACAGTACTATCTTTAAAGTACTGCATTGGGAAATGGGACATTTAGGTGCCGACCGTGTGATTCAATTGGCCCGTGAACGCTTCTATTGGCCAAAGTTGGAGAGTGACATTATTCACTTGTCGACTAGAGCTTGAACATGTCTCAAGCAACGGCGACCTGATTTGAGCACCCGTGCACCACTCACCTGTATTACTATTTCATCACCTTTTGAATTAGTGTCAATTGACTTCTTGCATCTAGAGTAAGGTTCTGGTGCGTACAAATACATCCCTGTCATTATTGACCACTTCACTAGATTTGCAAAAGTCTACCCAACTAAAAACATGTCAAGCACCACTGCTGCTGATCGCCTGTATAATGACTTTGTTCTAAGATTTGGTTTCCCGTCGAAAGTCCTTTATGACCAAGGTCGAGAGTTTGAGAATAAACTTCTCCAGAGATTGCATAAACTAAGTGGAGTTACCTGTCTTCGTACAACAACAAACCATCCTCAAGGGAATGGAAAAGTGGAAAGATTCAATAGGACTTTGTTGTCCCAAGTCAGGACTCTCCCAGAGAATAAGAAAGGAAAATGGAAAGACTCGTTAAACAAAGTTTTGCATGCTTACAACTGTGCGAGAAATGATGTGACTGGGTTCTCGCTATTCTGTTTGGTGTTCGGTCGGTCACCTCGTCTACCAGTTGACTTGATGTCTGGTCTCTTACGTGATGAACCTGGTGTAACCCATCAGGGGTATGCAGAAAAGTGGCTTCACTAGCCGCGAAGAATATTCTTAAATCGACAGCCGCCGGGAAGAAGCAGTATGATCGTAAGGTGAGGTTTTCAAGCATACAGCCTGGAGATCGGGTCCTGGTGCGTGACTTATCGGACTTATCAGACCTGAAGGACGGACTGGTAAGCCTAGAGTATTGTACAGGAATCTACTGCTGCCGTGTGATTTGCTTCCAGTTGACCACCGAGACCCTTCCCTTCATCATTCTCAAAGACACGTGGCTCCCAGTTCTCCGTAGAAAGTTTGAGACGGGTTGCAGAAGGATGAATTCTCCACGAGTGATTCAGGAGACGAGGATGAACCGCCTGGTTTGTCCCCTACAGAGTTACAGACTTTGCGGTTGTGTACACCTACAGGAGACACTGAACGTCTTACGGCAGGACAACTAGAGAAAGTTACGAGTGGAACTATGACAGAGGACGTGGAGACCCCTCATGGTGACTACGTTACAGAAGATCCTGTGCTACCTGACTCTGACGCTTAAGACAAAAGTGGTCACGGCCCGGAGACAGAACAAAACCATTGCCTCCCTATCCGTACCCGACATCCACCGAATGTGTTGTGCTATGATCAGCTGGGAGATCCTAGTTACCACCCTTGCAGTGCACCTAGTATTTAAGTACCAACAGCAAATATTGTTTCTGGCCAACGGATTTACCGTCCGCCTTATCCCCCGACTGGGTAATTGCAAGGCCGTATATGGATCACCAAGCCTGCACTGGGGTCCCTCCGATTACGGTCCGGTTCATCCACACGCTGTCGCAGGGTACCACCCATATATGTTTCAGTGGATGCCTGTTCCAGCTTGCTGAGGAAACCGTGTACCACAGGACATTTCCAGACTCTCAGACTTCAGATGTGTTTAGAGTTTAGCAGTTGTTAGAAAAAAAATTGTTCAGGCTTCAATTGGCAAGTAATTGAGAAGAGAATTCTGTGTATCATCACATGAACACTGGATGAGGACGCACATGGAACTTTCTAAGTAGCCCTGATCACCCTACGAGAATAGTTGGTATCGAAGAATCAAACTTAGGTTAGCTTGTAAAATGCAGTTTCTTTATGGAAAACCCGAGCCTTTGTTCTGATGTCCAGGAGGACATCTCTTTTAGCGGGGGAGAATGTAGGAAAGTACTTAGCCCACCCCCAACAACTGATTACATTTTTAAAGTCACGTGATATTATTGCACGATAAGTGAGAGGTTGTACGCCACGAGGCTGGAAAGGTCATTAAAACTGCTGAACGAGACTTTGTGTCCTCGTTTCTGTTCTCCGAAAGAACCGAGCCGTTACCATTTTTTTTTGTTGTTGTTTAAACGAGATCATATTTAAAATTCCGAAAGATTGCTTATATAATTCCAGAACGGAAAATGACAATGACAACTCTCAGTGCGCATGACAAAAGAATGCAAAATTGAAAAAAAACGGCATTCGAAACTCGGTTGTCATGTTAGCGTCAGTGTTGGCGTACACGTCACGATGATGACTTAACACATTTTCTTTAGAATGTTTCCATCCACATATGCCTTGTCAGTAACTGTGCTCACATTGTGGGTGGCTCATCCTAAAATATTCTACAATGGGTATAGGATTTAATGGAACCGAAATTGGAATTGCACACAATTCAGGCATCTAGTGATGTTAGGCCTCAAATGTAATAAAGGTCCTCAGTCAAATAAGTTTTGGTCCGAAATGTATTAACGGTACCTTAAGTGTAATAGATTTTGTTCCCATAAAGTCATTGACTGAAAGATGCAACTGTCTAGTGCGATAATGTCATTAGCCAGACAATTCACTTTATACGCCATACTGAAATGTTAAAAACATTCACCATTT